ATGCTGAGTTGGGAGCAGGCTCATGCCTTAATCATAGGAAGCTGAGATCTGAGGATCGTGGTTCAAAACCAGCCCAGGTTGGAAAGTGTGAGACTCCAATTAACCACCAGAAAACCAGAAGTAGAGCTGTGGCCTTGGGTGACAAAGCTAAGGGAGGTGCCCAGGCCCTGAGTTCAACCCCAAGAACTGGTACCAAGAAAAAAAAGTAATGCTGAAGCAATTGGATATCCATAAGCAATAAATCAGTCAATAAAAAATAAATAAGTAAATAAGTAAGCAAATAGACTCCACCTAAACCTCATACCTTATATAAAATAAAGTTGCAATAGTTGACAAACTTAAAAGCAAAACATAAAATTATAAGCCAGTGTTAATGGCTCATGCCTGTAATTTTGATAGGAGGTTGAGAACTGAGGGACGAGGTTTGAATCTAGCTTTAGTAGACAAATCTGAGACTCGTCTCCAATAAACCAACAAAGAGCTGAAAGTAGAGGTGTGGCTCGAGTGATAGGGTACCAGTATTGAGCACATAAACTAAAGGGACAGTGCTTAGGCCCTGAGTTCAGCCTCCAATATCAGCACAAAAATAAAGAAATTAATGAATAAAACCTAAAATTATAAACATTTTAATATATCATAGGGACGGAAATGTGGCTTAATGGTAGAGTGCTTGCCTAGCATGCATAAAGTCCTAGGTTCGATTCCTCAGTACCACATAAACAGAAAAAGCTAGAAGTGGTGCTGTGGCTCAAGCAGTAGAGTGCTAGTCTTGAACAAAAGAAACTCAGGGACAGTACCCAAGTGCTGAGTTCAAGTCCCAGGACTGGCAAAAAAAAAAAGATACATCATAGAGTTGTAGGGCTAAATCAATCAGAATTGTAGACTTGACACCAAAACATCTGTAGCAGGAAAAACATTAATCTTCATCAAGGTAACAAATTTTATTCCTGCTAAAGCCCAGTGCCAGTGACCTACACCTGTTCTGAGAGTTTTTTCCCCCCTTTGGGAAAACCCATGGGAAGAGGATGAAGATGATCTAAAGATTTGGAAGAATTGGGGTTTGGGAAGGTGGCTCAGTGGTAGAGTGCTTGCCCTGCATGCATGAGGCTCTGGGTTCAATTCCTCAGCACCACATAAACAGAAAAGGCTGGAAGTGGCACTGTGGCTCAAGTGGTAGAGTGCTAACCTTGAGCTGAAGAGCTCAGGGACAGTGCCCAGGCCTAGAGTTCAAGCCTCACGACTGAC